CTAGTCGCTCATACACTTGTGACATCGGGTCTTGGAAATATGCTAGTAGACATTTGATATTTTTTGGGTATTTATATCACTGTACTTGCTCCTTTATGAGCTTATGCTTACTTTATTAAATTTTTCACTTCTCATTTGCTTAATAAATACAAATCAACTACTTTGAAATTATTAAAAAGAATAAATACATGGCTAGTTCATGCGTTAGCTTGCCTAGCGGCGACGTTGGGCGCCATCACGACCTATAGGAGAAATTGGGTCGTGACATTTTCAATCAACAATCAATTCGCATGATGAAACAAAACTAACCACTCCTGAATTTTAATTTCTCAATCGATTCTCAAAGCATACATACAGAATATAAACAGTTAAGAATCAAACTTTGATGTTGAGAAAAATAGAGAACCCTTTTGAATTTGAATGTAGCTCTCCCTCTCCGACGCACAATTGAAGTGCAAAATCATTTCCCTCGTTTATTGGATGGGTTTCTGGCGTGGCTCCTTGGGCTTTAGTCCTTGAACCCTTCTGTCATGGGCATCTATAAAGCCCATTGACTAAAGCCTAAGGACCCACTAATTCCTCAAATGGCGTATCCTAATGAGATTGGTCTTAACTAAATGTCCCTAGCATGGTATAACAACATACCCATATAATTGGTAGAAAATAGCCCTAGTTATAGATATTGGCATCAAATAGCCAATAAATGTATATCACAATAATAATATGCATATCACAACTTTTTTCTTCTTCTTTGTCTATATCAACATGTATATTAAAATTTTATTTTCATTCTTTGTATATAAATAATATTATTCTTTGTATATCGATAATATAAAATTATATATATAGTTATTGCTGCCTTTATATCAATGTATATCACAATAAAAATATTATATTATTTATATATCACAGTGTATAGCACATCAGACATGTGTATACCACATTTGTATCCCCTATTGTAACCCGTGTATATCTCTATGTACATCAGTGATATCTCATGTATATTATGTGTGTCTGTGTCTATCCATGAAAATTTCTATTATATATACGATATACAATGTGATATACACGGGCGTCCGTAAAAATATTGTATTGTATACACGATATACAAAGTGATATACACAGACGTCCTTAAAAACTTATGTGTGATATACACTGATATACACGATATACAACGTGATATACACATGTCGCAGTTGGATTTTTAGGTCTGATTGTTTTACCTGAAACCAGTCTAAATCACTTCTAATCTTGCTCAAATTTTATATATAGCCTTGTTTAGGCATTTTCAACCAATTTCAATCACACCCACTCATTCAATCCAACCAAAAAAAAGAAAGAGAGAAGAAAAACAAAGTTGAAATATATTTTTTCTCTCTTAGTTTTTGCTAATCTTGCTCAAATTTTGTATATAGTCTCGTTTAGGTATTTTCAACTAATTTCAATCATACCCACTCATTCAATCCAACCAAAAAAAGAAGAGAGAAGAAAAATAAAGTTGAAATATATTTTTTCTCATTTAGTTTTTGCTTCTGATTTTCTCTGATGTGAGATCAACCTTACCTTTTTATCCCACTAATTTTTTTTGCATAATTTACAAGAATTTTTGCTAAACTATGAGAGAAAAGAGAAGAGATAGAAGAAGAAATACAAGGAGATAAAAGGGGTGGGAAGTCAAAATAAGTGTGTATTTCTTTTTTAGAGAGAATATAAAAGAGAGTAATTTTTTTAAGATTTGATTATATAATGCCAAATGTTTGGGGCTATCTTTGCCAAACCTAATATAAGGCTAAAATATTGCCAATTCCTGTTATGTGTTGTTATATGATACCAATTTTTCTTAATAAATGAACTTTGCATCTTTATCCTTTCAGCTCCTTCTTTTCTATCTCTCCTCCTTCATCAAGTACACCATAAATTCTCAATTTTGGAAGTTTAAAATTTTTGTTTGGGGTTGGATATTCAAAATTAATGGTTAATTACTTGAAATCATTTGATTATTAATTATTTATGCCTAAACTTTTAGTTTAGACACTAATTAATGTTTACTTTAAAAATCTCAATTTTTCATTGTTGGTCCTTAGAAAATGTTAAACACGATAAAGTGGATCTTTTTTATTTGATATTATTTGACAAAATTGGTGATTGGAAATCGTTTATGTTGCTTTTATTTTAAATTTGAAATTAGTTGGAACAGATTTGGGTGGTCTGATCAAAATCAGAATTACAAATTCAAAAAATATTTTGTTGAACAACACAAAAAAAATATGACAATCAGGTAGACTTTAATGAACAATTTAACAGATAGGCCGCTTGCAGTTAGCACAAAGTTACACCAATCCGGTAGAGTTTGGTAAACAATTGAACGAGCAAAAAATATGTCATCAAAGTAGACTTTGTGAATAATTAATAATATAGGTAGAGTAAATAGTGTATAAATTCTACAAATCCAGTAGATAAATCACTAAAAGTTTGTTTGGATAGTTGTTACCTGTTGTATTGTATCGTATTATTACTTCATATACAATGTTTGTTTTGATTGTTATTTAAATTTTATTGTATCGTACCGTTAAATCAGTCGGTGCGTAACGATGGAAAGTGCCACTTTATGAAACGACCGATTTGGTGTGGTCGCGTTGTTTTTTTTTTTTTTTTTTTTATCTTGCCTTTTTTATTAATAAATAATCCTATTTTTATTTACCCTACCTTTTATATAATAATATTATCTTGTACTTTACTTTTCTTTATAATATTATAAATTTATTTTTCATATTGTTGGTGCATTACTTCGTAAAATAACGACAAACAATACAATCTATCCAACAATGTTGCAAATAAATACTCCCTTCTAGGCTTTATGTGTATGCCAAGTTCATAACTTATATTCTGTTATGTTCACAATAAAATAGTTGGATGCTATCTTCGAGGTTGTCGTACCATATGATCACAAGGACTTGTGACATCTAATGCCAAGATCACAATATTTGACCTTCTAACATATTTTCGATCGCAATAATTCGAATTCCTCGGACGGATATCTAGTTAATTAAAATTCGTTACATAAAGTACATATCTAGTTAATAAAAAAAAATTGATACAAATTGCTACTCCCCCGGTTCATTTTAATTGATTTTTTAGCTCTTTTTTTGTGGTTCATAATATTTAATTTTTTCAGATATCAAGAAGGGATGAACTTCTTTTTTTCAAAGTTGCCCTTCGAGTAAAGAGATTAGGGATATTTATTATATTTTTAATGAATAAATTAAAGTTAATATGATTAATTTTATTGTTAATTAATGCTAAAAGATAAATTTCTTAATATGTCTGAAAATAACTAAAAATAGTCCATTAAAGTGGACGAGAAAGAGTAATATTTTTTATGTTCCGTTCAAGTTTTGAAAAAACCTATATTTATATTTGTGGATGAGATACAACGGATAAGGGTCTGATTTGCCCCTCTACTATCATAAATAGGCCTTATTTACCCTCCATTTGATTTTTCTATCAAAAATATCCCTACAGTTATACTTTAGGTTCATATTTACCCTTACGCGTTAAAATGAGTTACATTTGCCTTTCGTTATACTTTAAGATCATATTTACCCCTTTACTCTTCAAAAATGGTTACATTTGCCCTTCGTTATACTTTCTTGATATATTTATCCTTACAATTATACCCTACATTTACCCTCATCCGGTAGATCGCCATGTCCCATCTTTGTTTTCCTACATGGCGCCTATGTGGATATTTTTTCTTTCAATTTAAATATGGTCACTTATTTAAAATAATTTAACTCGACCACCCAAAGACAAAATAATTAATTAAAAATACTCATTACTCATACCCGAAAAATAATTTTTTTTAAAAAAACTGAAAAAAACTAAATTTATTTTTTTACTAAAAACTGAAAAAAACGAAAATATTTTTTTTCCAGTTTCTTTAAAAAACTGAAAAATATTTTTTAAAATAATATTTTTGTAAAAACTGAAGAAAATAAAACTGAAAAGTAATTTTCTAAAGCAATTAAAAACTGGAAAAAATATATATTTATTCATTTTTTTTTCCAGTTTTTAGTAAAAAAAAAATCAGTTTTTTTAGAGTGGTTTTGTAAAAACAGGAAGAAACTGATTTTTTTTTACTAAAAACTGAAAAAAAACGAAAATATTTTTTTTCCCAATTTTTACAAAAAAGCTGCTTTAAAAAAAGCTGAAAAAATATTTTTTAAAACAATATATTTTGAAAAAAACTGGGAAAAAAAAAAGTAATTTTCTAAATTGTAAGGATAAATATGTCAAGAAAGTATAACGAAGGGCAAATGTAACTATTTTTTAAGAGTAGAGGGATAAATATGATCTTAAAGTATAACGAAGGGCAAATATAATCCATTTTAATGCGTAAGGGTAAATATGAACCTAAAATATAACTGTAGAAATATTTTTGATAGAAAAATAAAATGGAGAATAAATAAGACATATTTATGATAGTATAGGGGCAAATGAGTCCCTTATCCGATACAATTATCTAGTAGATGAAGTTCACTTGTTTTGATTGGCTCACTGAACTTATCGTACCCAACAAAGTGAATATGTGACCGTACAAATTTTATTGGATAAAGCAATGCCAATCGAACAATTGCGAGCCTTTTATTTTCCTTTTTATTGGTTGTGGTAACCATGAATTTTGTTTTTATGTAAATATTGGGAACCGGAAACTTACCGTTTTGATTAATCCGAATACACGTCAGTTAAACATTAGAGTAAAAAAAAATAATATTTACAATACTCAAAACTCAAAACATTTACGTAATTAAAAACAATCTCAATTTCACATCACAATGTTGGTTTTCATTAAACATTGAAAATTACAGTATATCCTTTTATCCAAATATATTTATTGTTTTTCCTTTTTGGTCCAATATTTGACACGTTAACACAAATATAGGTTCTTTGACGTCCAAGGAATCAGTTAATATATATCGTTCTGACAGGTCAAAAAACAAGTACCTTAAGATTAGGCCACCTGTTCAAATATGTGTCCCATTTTCAAACGTTTTCTTGTTCCTTCATTCATACCTTTTACTTTCCACCATTGAAGAAAAGCAAAGAACCCCTTTTCACATTCCCAATTTCCAATCTCAGGTCCAATTTTAAACTTCCAAAAAAAAAAAAAAAAAAAAAAAAATATCAAATACATCAAGAATTATAGGGCAAAATCCATGGCAAAATTTTTCATCCCATCACCTTTGAATTCTGGTGATGTTTATTATCATCACCTTATTAATCAACATAGGATTTGGGCTTTTCCCAAGAAATCGAATTGTATAAATTCCAATTCATTTGGGATTTCATTATCAGCAAGTAATAATATTTTTGGTCGTAATATTTCCCTAAGAGGACCCTTAAGCATGCCCAAATTCAATATAAGAAATCCCAGATCAGCAGCTGTCAGTGCCCAGGTTTGTTTTTGGTTTTTTGTTTTTTGTTTTTTGTTTTCTGGTTTTAGATGTTTTATTGTTCGGGGAATTTTCTGGTCAACGTATACGTGGTTAAATCCTTTACTGTAATTAGAAAAGTTTTTTAATGTGAATTTTCACTGCTTCAATTTGGGTTGCGGCTATTTTTGGAATTATAGTCAATAAGTATGTAAAATTTTCTTCTTTTTGCTATGATTTTGTGTTAAAGAATCTATTTTGAAGCAGAGTTTTTCAGGTCAAATTTAGGGCATGATTGATTAAGATTATTTCACTCGATTTTAACTGTTAATCATGAACAGTGGTGACTGTAGAAAAATCCAGTTCTGCAGATATAATAGTAGGCAATTGATTTGATGAAACTAATTACTTTTAAACCCTTATCTAAAATTACCAGAAACAAACTTTAGTAATCCAAATGAAAGAGGATCTTATTAATATTAAAGAACGTGGCATGAATGGCCATTTTGGGCGAGAGAACGATAAAAAAAGGCAGCCCGGTGCACTAAGCTTCCCCTATGTGCGGAGTCCAGGGAAGAGCCGGACTACAAGGGTGCAGCCTTACCCTGGATTTCTATTGTTTTCATGGCTCGAATCCGTGACCTCCGGAGAGAACGATGCATTTCACTTTTTTTTAAACCATTTTGTTACCAACTTGGATAACTAATTAAGTTGCTATTTGCATGAGTTGGATCACCATTACAGTATGTAATTTTTCTATGATCCTTTTCTTATTAACTTTGGCAGCCTTCATTTATAGAATATAATAAATTCAACTTTTTTCATCTCTTGCTACATTTGCATAAAACAGATGAGCATTGGAATCAGGAAAGCTCCAAAATGGTGGGAGAAAGGTCTTCAGCCTAACATGAAAGAAGTGACTGGTGCCCAAGACCTTGTTGACTCCCTCGTAAATGCCGGCGACAAACTTGTGATTGTTGATTTCTTTTCCCCTGGCTGTGGAGGCTGCAAAGCCCTTCATCCAAAGGTATTATATTCTTGTTGTCTAAACTGTTTGTTATATGTATTTGTGCGTGTGTGCCTAAAGATGAACAGAAAATCCATCAGTTACTCTTTTTTGGTTTGAAATAATGCTGCACTTTGTTGGCAGTCCGTTTCAGTAAGATAGGATTAATGACCTTCGCCTTGGTAAAATTGGAAAATGCAGATATGTCAGTTAGCAGAGATGAATCCGGATGTGCAGTTTTTGCATGTGAACTATGAGGAACACAAGTCGATGTGTTACTCTCTGAATGTACATGTTCTCCCATTTTTCCGTTTCTATAGAGGGGCTCAAGGTCGTCTCTGTAGCTTTAGCTGTACCAATGCCACGGTTAGTTTTCCATCCACCTCTATATGCTTCGGGTTTTTCTTCTGCTACAGCAATGTACTGCACTTTTGTTAATGACGTTATATGTTGCTTTCTTTTTAGCTAGTAATGCTTTTCGTCCATCTCATTCTTCTGATGTATTTAGAATTTTTTGGATGGTTATTGGATCACAGTTATTTTATCTAGAATCTGCATCTGCATCTTCTGCATAATCTATCTTTAAGCAGATCAGTGCATTCTTTTGCTGGTTCTGTTTTATGGTGCTTGCTTCTTTGCCAAGATGTGATTTATGATGAGTTTGCTTTTCTTGACATTATAAGAAATTAATGCATTTTATTACTGTTTCCTTTTGTTAAAAATGATAATCCTCTTTTGGAGTGGTATTGTAACACTAACCGGGAATTCTGGAGCAGATCAAGAAATTCAAAGATGCATTGGCAAAGTATGGTGCAGATTGTTGCAGCCTTGGACCAGCTAAAGGGCTTGAGGAGAAAGAGCTACTCGCACTAGCAGCTAACAAGGATCTCTCTTTTGCTTACACACCAAAACAAGAAGAACGAGTACTTGTTGCCTTACAAGAAGATATGACGAACAAAACAAGCAGAACACCTTCATCTCATCCAAATGCATTTCCCCCTTTACCACTTCCTCTTCCCCTTGCATCAACTTCACATAAGGTGAAACAGGGCTCAAAGAGTGAAGTTTGCTAAGAAAATGGATGTTGGCCTTAGTCAAACCCAAAAGTTAGTTCATGACTTGAAAATTGTTCAAGACCATATAAGGACAAAATAATCCAGTCTCCCAATCGACGTGAGACATTCTAACAACCCCTAGCACACCCACAACCGGACATATGGAGCGTGGATTCTATAGAATGGGGAGCAAATGTTGAGTAAATCAGAAAAAAGATCTAGCTCTAATACCATGTTAAAAAGTGGCATCGGACCCAACTCGAACCCAAAAGATTAGCTCTTGTTGTGAGGATTCCCAGGAACTTATATAAGAGATAATAGTTCATTCTCCCAACCAATGTGAGATATTCTAACAAAGTCTTTCCCACTTACCGTGGATGATATTAGTACATCTATTTTGTGTTTTCTTATGTACATAATGCTGTTGTAGAGGATATGAAAATGATATATGTACTATGAAAGATGTGATTTTTCTACATATTTTCTATGGTATTCGGCCTCTATATGAGCCAGAGCAACAGGGAGGATGTGCCCTCCTTTTGCTTCGGTTATGAAAATGAAACTATTTTTCCACATTTTTTCTATGGTATTTGGCCTCTATATGAGCCAGAGAAACAGAGCATGTGCCCTCCTTTTACCTGGCATTGGGCTCAAGTTAGACTTGAGAATTAAAATGAAAATACATCACTTGACCATGTTTTTGCGATGGAAGTGCTTATATAATTGCACGTCTTACAATTGACTATTTAATGCAAACACTTTCCCAGTAGAATGGAAGAAATCTTGGTTAGAACGGCTTATTGTAATTATGTGTTTTATTTTAGATAGTAATTTTGTCCTCTTTGATTAAAGGATAAATATGTGGCAATGATTTGAATCCTTAAAGGCATTTTCAAGTAGCAATTGTGACAATACAATTATATCTCCCACATGCAAATAATAAGCAACACCTTTTAAATTAACATACAATACCTTACAGAACTTCAGAAACTAAATATGCATCAAAATAATAGAGTATATCAGCAGGCCATCTTGACATTGACAACATTCAAAGAAAAAGATGATAAACTACTCGCAATCCACTTCCGGGAAAGAGATATTTTGCACTAGAAAATCCACAGACGGACCTCAATACAGAAGATTAACATAACCAACTCCAATTAGTTTGCAATTGAAGCATAGTCTTCATCGAAAAAGAAGGCCTCGTTTCCACAGCTTTCAGCCATGATGTGCATCTGCTAAAGCTTCAAAACTCAATTCCCCTTCAACGTTAGGGTAAAGGTCAGGAGCAAAGCTACATGTCTTAAAGCTTCATCGAAAAATTACATTATGTTATAGGCAAAATATTAGATTTTAGAGGTATATAACATCTATTGAACACACTTTGTCGGAGAATTTTGTTCACTTCTGGTAAATTCCTAGATTAACCACTGGCAAAGGTAAGAACAGAATTCCGTCATCATGGCTGAATCAACCTAGTTACAAAGCCATTGTACCTTCCAACTTGTACTACTAATCAGTAATCACAGAGTGAATGGAAAGTGAAAAAAATAGCCAGAGTTGTAAAGATAAATATACAATGACATAGTTACACTCCCCAGCTACACATCATAAGTCACCAATATATGCATCTGTCCCTAAAGCTGCTCAATATATGCACATGAATTAAGACTGTTAAAGTATTGTCATTGATATACTAAGTAAAGCTAAATGCTGCCATAGGCAATGCATCTATGTGATGGCAATAAATATAATATACAAATTAGCATAACATTGAGTAGTTGGCACAAGGGTTGTGCCAGAAGACAGGTAACGCGATGCAACATTATGTACTCATCACGCTGTTTAATACTGGCAAAAAGATCAATCTATGCTTCCGAAACAGGAATACCCCATATAAAATAAAGAGGTGTTCACAAGTAAGAAGCAACTCTATCACTGAATCATCTATGATAACAGATAATAAATACAAGTCACTAGGAGATACAGAAAAAACAAAAGACTTGAATGGATTCAAGTAAATGCAGTATCAATGTTGAGCAAAACTAACTTAATGCAGTTATGCAGATCTGAATGCAAAAGGAATGAGATATTCTGAAATTGCAGCAGTATATGAATAATAGTATAACCTCTTCTACTATATCAGATTAACATAAAGCAGCTTGAAGAGCAAATACTTAATGCCAAATCAAGAAAATGCATTAAGTACAGCAAATAGCACGTAAATTAAAACTTTTTTGCGGGGTTTTATTTAAATGCTAATACTCATAAAATAAATCAAGAAAATGCATGAGCAAATAGCACATAAAAATTAAAACTTTTTTGCGGGGTTTTATTTAAATGCTAATACTCATAAAATAAATCAAGAAAATGCATGAGCAAATAGCACATAAAAATTAAAACTTTTTTGCGGGGTTTTATTTAAATGCTAATACTCATAAAATAAATCAAGAAAATGCATGAGCAAATAGCACATAAAAATTAAAACTTTTTTGCGGGGTTTTATTTAAATGCTAATACTCATAAAATAAATCAAGAAAATGCATGAGCAAATAGCACATAAAAACTAAAACTTTTTGGTGGGGTTTAATTTAAACGCAAATACTCATAAAATAAATCAAGAAAATGCATGAACTAGAGCAAATAGCACATAAAATTTTTTACTTTTTGGTGGGGTTTATTTAAATGCTAACTCATAAAATAAATCAAGAAAAATGCATTAACACATAAAAATAGATTAGTATTATTTTTTTGTGGGGAAGTCCGCACAGCCTTCATCGCCGATTTAATGAAAGGCTCAGATAGCGGACAGTCTTCATCGCAGTAAAGCAGGGAAAAGAGGTCCCGAAAAATGGGCTGGACCGGCGAGAAAGAGATGTATGAGCCGCCATAAACCCTACAAGAAATAGGGCGGTAGCTCTATCCCTACCTCCACCGATTCCCATTCGCCATCGCCGTCTTCGCCGCCACCCACTGCTCAGATAAGATCAAGTAGTTTAAGGTTAACCTAAAACCCCATCTCTGTTATATAGTTGTCTGATGAAACCTAAAAGGCCTCGTCTCTGTATGAATTTTCTAATATACCCCGCATAAATTTTCAATATGACTCCTAGATTTGCTCTTTATTGCGAGAAAACATCAAATATGGTCCCTTATGTTTTGGGTGAGTTAAAAAAGCTTTTAAAATATGCTTTTGAATAGTTTTGGTCCTTTAAATTTACTAGAAGTGAGCACTCCTGATTAGGGGGTGTTCGTCGGTTGATACGGTACAGTATTTAAACATTTCGATTCGGTTTTTTAAAATGCAATACCAATACCGTACCTAATTAAATTCGGTATGGTTAGATTTTTTTCCTTTCGGTTTCGGTTTATTTAGTTTGGTAACTTGGGTTTAATACTAACTAGTGCATAGAGTCATAGATTGTAATATTCTAAACTAAAGTACTCAAAAGTACAAAACTAGAAACATTTGTTGACAAAAAATTTTGTTCAAAACTAGCAAATATCAACTCAGAGAGAGAAAACTTTATATAAAATAATAAATTTGATCATTAGAAATGTTTTGTTACTTGCTTAGAGTTAATTGGTGAACTTAGAGAATAAAGAAAAATAAAATTTTAGATTTTTATATTTATGTTATAATTAATAATATGTGTAATGTGTAATATAATATATATTTCGGTACGGTATTAGTATTTCGGTATTTCATTCTAAAATACCAAATATCATACCTAATACCAATATTTATTAAAACTTAAACCAAATACCATATCGAATACCAAAATATCGAATACCAAATACCAAAATTTTTGATTTCGGTACGATAATTCGGTATTTACCAAATTATGCACGACCCTACTTCTGATTCCACTTAAGTATTTGACTAGAAACACAAAAAATCAGAAATTGCACAAAAAAAACAAATTAACTAGAAACACAAGAAAATCCGCATTAAATCCTAGAAACTGCAATAGAAAAATTACATTCGATACAAAACTCAGAATCTGCATCCCCCAAAACTGCATAAGACCTTAGAAATAGACCAAAACAAAAGAAACTATAAAAGTACACCTCCAACCGTGAGTTTCAACTAAATCAAGTTCACCAAATACTCACTTTTAGTACATTTAAATGATCTACTTAACAATATATTTACAGAAATTAGCACGGTGTGACCCCGAAAGGGATGATTTTGGTGGAATGTCTTTATTTTTTAAGGACTTAGCAAATTCTTTTTTTTTACTTGAACACCATAGTTTTTTTTAATATGTAAAGCTTGAAATTCTTATTTTGATGGTAGAAAATAAAAGTTAATAACTGATTTACTGTTAAAATCATTGAATGTGGATAATTTATGCTTAAACTTTTAGTTCATACGCATTTTTTTGTGATTTACTGTAAAAATCTCAAAATTTCATTATTGGACCTTAGAAAGTATTGAAGAAGACAAAGTTGTCCTTTTGATTTGGTGTTATTCGAATAAATGGTGATTAGACATTGTGTGTATTGGTATTTTGAAGCTTTGTTTCAAATTTGAGATCATTTAGAGCAAATTGGGGTGGTTTGATCGAAATTGAAGTTGTAAATTCGAAAAATACTCTGTTAAAACAACCCAGAAAAAGTATGCCAATCCGCTAGATTTCGATGAACAACTTAACATATAGGTATACAAAAAATAGCATAAACGTTATTGACTAAGTAGAGAAACCTTTGAAGAACAGAAGTATGATAATCCGTTAGATTTCAATGACAACTAAACAGATATGTAGAGTAATAATAACATCAACTCTATCAAATTGGTATAAAAAATCTTGAAGAGCAAAAGTATGACAATCTGATAGATTTTGACGAACAATTAATCCGGTAGAAAAATCGCTAAAGAGCTTGTGCGGGCTCGGAATTATTTTTTTAGATACCATAAATTTTGGAACATTACCATCCCTACAAAGTCTCTTTTCGTGTCAATCACCCATATATTTAACATAGTACTTTGAACCTAGTCCAAACACAACGGACCATTTTTATTATTTTATTGGCGTTTGGACACAAGAATTGTGAATTTTTTTTTTTTTTAAAATTAAAAATATTATTTGAAAATTAGAGTTGTGTTTGGAAATGAATACAATTTGGAGTTATTTTTGAATTTTATTACCAGATTTGAAATGAAAATTTGAAAAATAGCTTTTTGGAATTTTTTTCATATTTCAAAAAATTTTAAAATTCAACTTTAAGTGAAATTTAAATTTTTTATTGCCAAAACACTTATTCCGATTTTTTTTTTTTAAAAAAAATCCGGAAAAAAGTAAAAAAAAAAAATTCATGGCCAAAAAATGAACCTAAGACCATTTTTATCACTTTTGTGGTAATTCTGTTCCCCAACGGCAGTTGAGATGTCCTAGAAATAGTAAAACCAGCTTTACACTGAAAAATGAATATCCCATATCGTCACTCAAACCCTAAACACTCTCTCTCTCTCAGTTTCTGAAGGTCAGTCAGATCTTAATTCAGTTCTTTATTCTGTGTTTATTAACAATTATTCATTCGTGCTATTGTTGAGCAGTTATTGGATTATGCTGGGGTTGTAAAACTGAAGTGTTGAAGAATCTTAGAATCACTAACTTGTGTTATTGGTGGGTCATATATGGTTAAGTTTGATAAAAATAAAATATTTCTTGGGCATATCTTAGTTTTGTTGTAATTGCTAGGGAGCTTTATTAATAGCTTAAAGTGTTTAATCAGCAACTGGGATAAGTTAGAGGCTTCGGACCTTTTTGCTCTCTGTTTCTATGCAGAGTATGTTGTAGGATGGAGAGAGATGTTTTATATATGATGTTCAGGAACAATTACTCTTCTTTCACAACTTCAACCAATATCAATCAACTACACCTCAATCCCAAACTAGTTAGGGCCGACTATATGAATTAGGAGGTATATGCACCAGTTCATGATGAATAGTTGAGCTTAAATGGAGAAATACTGCTCTATTTAGTAAGTGGAGGAATTCTCAGTGATTCATAGATGGTCTAAGCCTGAGGTTGGAACTAACTAAGCAATGGACCTGGATACCATTTAATTTATCGTAAAAAAAGGATGAAGCATTTAAGGGAATGTTTGTTTGAGTAAAAAACACGGTATTACCCTAGGGCTTTGGTCTAAGTGGTAAGATCACATGATGTGTGGGCTAGGCGCACGTCATGGGTTTGTACCTTGGACAAAAGCCTGAAATGGAGAAGGGTGCAAGGGCCGGCCCATTATCCATCGAGTTTTCAACCGTGTGCCATGGGCCCTCAGGGATTTGCCGGTTATCTTAAAAAAACATGGTATTTTGCCTTAGTCACCGGTGGAGCAAAAATATTTAAGGGTCACTGTCACTCCTAGGAAAGGGGCTTTGGTAGTGAGGTTTACTTATTACCCAAAAAAGAAAAACATGGGTGCAAACAGCTGGGAATAGGGCAGGTTCATACCAAGGGGGGTTGCACTTTTTGAAGAATTTACTGGAAAATAATGAATACTTAAGAGCATAGTGGTCAATTGGCACAAACCTGATACTTGTGGTGGATGTATTTGGGCTACTCGTATAACTGATCTGCACAGTGTATTTGGCAACTGCATTTAGTTACTTGCATGTGAAAAAGATTGACAACTTCTATTTGTCTATTACTAAAAATAACTAATTAGTGCGAAACATGATTTTTATTCCTTCCATGTTTCTTTTAAAGAAATTCAATGTTTTGGTACCAATATAAATTAGGCTTAAGATTCCTGTTTAGGCTGAAGGAGACAAGGAGTTGGGTGCAAAGGAGGGTAATCCGTGTCACGTGTAAATCTTTACTCTGATCCGTAGCTTCATTACATTTCCTTAATAGCTGAATTTCTTGTATATTTATCTTCTTTCTTACTCGTTAATTTTTCATTACTAACAAAATGAATAAAGGTTTAGTTTTTTCAGTAAACCCTAGTGGTCTTACCTCATAGGTCTGATCATTTTCTTAATTTCTTTTCCCACTGCTACTTAATTCTTGTCTTGCACGTGCTTAATCATTCTTCAACAGAATGTGACTTTGGCATGCTTTTGGGTAGTCTATTTATTTCTATGCCATTCATTTGTTTTTACGATTCAGGTAAAAAATGACTGAGCCTTCAAAGGTCATTCACATTCGCAATGTGGGCCATGAGATCTCTGAGGTAGATATCAGGATTGCATACTGAATAGTTCTCTCCCCCCTCTTTTGTCTCGTAGATAGGCATTTGTTCTTATGAGTTCAACGCGTTATTTCTGAGCTCCGATTATTCATGCACTAGATTTATTTTTCTTTACTATGTTTGCATTATTCTCACAACTGGATTTGTCGCATGGCTGCTCTATCGAAAGCAGAGTACTTCTAGTATTTTTCTTTTTGTGTTGTACTATTTCCAAGGTTGAGATCATTCATGTGATAACTAAAAAAATTCAGTGGAAGAAATATATAAAGACGAACAAAAATTTCTTAATGATGGAGGAAGTTTAAGATACACAAAAAGATAGGAATTTTGTGATAAATGATTCAAAAGGACTGCCTGCCACGTGCTAGCGCCCATTCTTCAGAATTGTCCTACCAGAATTCCCAGAGTGATCGTTCTTGTCCTACCAGAGTGTTGGTTTCCCTTTTTTTTTGAAGAGATTCTTCTACCACCATCGTGATCGGGCAATTTAGTCTTGTTTTTCTGTGACCGTCCCTGGATTGTTTTTAGAGTTGAATCATGAATAGTTTTGCGTTTTTGGGGGGAGGGATTGGGGGGTGTGCAGCGAAGTGCTTAAAAGTCATTCTAAAGGTCGGGTTGTGTTTTCTTTTTAGCTTCTCGGCATTTGATTTCCCACCTAACTTTGAATTTCCAAAAGAGGAGCAGTAAGCCTTATGCCGCTTTTATTTTGCGTTAGTGTTAACACATTTTGAAAGATGGATACACTTTGTACATTTGAGGCAGTAAATATTTAAACCTGAGTGGAGCAGCAAATCCTTCCTCTTGCATTCACTTGGTTGGCATCAATTGGCTTTCTTTCTATTATTAGTTTTCTTTACCACTCTATTGTGACAAGCAGGAAAGTGATGTTATAGGCATGCAATGATTCCTGTGTTGTTTTTCTTCAGAATGACTTGCTTCAGCTATTTCAGCCCTTTGGCGTCATTACCAAACTTGTAATGCTTCGGGCAAAAAATCAGGTGCTTCTGTTATACATTTATTTTGATTGGCAGAATGATTCCAGTAAGTTGCTGTTTCTTAAATTAATTACATCTTATGGAATACAGGCTCTCTTGCAAATGCAAGACGTTCCATCTGCTGTAAATGCATTACAGTTCTATTCAAATGTTCAACCCAGCATCAGGTACCTTTTAAGACAAAACTTGTATTTCCAATTGGAGAGCTGTATGTGAAGCTTTTCATGTTGCTATGTTTGCTACATCTTTTTGTTTTCCTTGATTGGTGGCTCATTTTGCTTGTCCGATAGGGGAAGAAATGTTTATGTACAATTTTCATCTCATCAAGAACTGACAACCATGGATCAGAACTCCCAAGGGCGAGGAGATGAGGTCAGTGATTTTTTGTTTTACAAGAGGTGGCCATGTGCGTCACTTATGTTGAACTCACTATTAATGGTGTCCGACATACTCACAAACATCCAACTTGCTCCACTTTAAACTAGAAAAAATTTCGCGTATAATTTGTTGTTTGCTTTTAGCTCGACATGCTTTATAGATGTGCTGCATGGTTGAAAGAGTTATTTCTATTATTTACTTGTTGTACAGGAGCACTAATAAGCAGTACACAGTTCACTTCCATTTCCTTATCAGTTAGTTAACTATGTGAAGCCCACAGGGCGATAAATGACTTCACTTGTTATAAAAAGGAACCTTCTGAGTTGTGTGTGTCTATGTATTCAAAGACTGAAGTAATGCTATCTCAAATTCATAATGAGTAGTTGAACATGTCATTATAACTAGTGTCCAGACATATTAGGGAGATGTCAAGAGAAAATTTGAGATTTCACTGATCCCACTGAATGGAGAAGACGAATTAACCATTAAGCCGCTTGTCTGTCAGGTTATGCCCGGTTTCTATGGTGTTAAAGGTCCAAGAGCATAACTGATTTTCTCTTTCACAATTTCTGACACTAAAACTCATTTAATGTGGTTGGAGGTGCCAGGGGCGGAAGCACCTTTAACGAAGCGGTGTCGCGTGACACCGCTTCGTTGGAAAATTTTACTAAGTACAGTCATATATCTCTATAACAGTATCCCTATATAACAACACTTCACTATAAAAGCCAAACTTTTCCGGAACCAATTTTCATGTTATGTTATAATATATGTTCTATATAACAACACTTCGCTATAACATCCAAAAATATTCGGAACAAATGAGGCTGTTATAGAGAGTATATGTATTAATACTGTAAAGAAACAAATAAGTAGAAAAAAATGACACCACTTGACAAAGATTGTCTTGGTGCGTTGGTTATATGCTTGATTTTGCTTTAAGAGGTTAAAGGTTCAAACCTCAACTAGCACATTTTTTTGTAAATATTTGAGAAAGCCACTGTGGTTAAAAATTGTGATGAAGCAAATTGAACTCGGACCTTTTTTAACTTAAGACTCGATAAACCAATAGACTAAGGCTATTTCTTGTTTAGAAAAATGATAATTAAAGTTATTATTCTCGTTCTTTTATAAATTTCGACACCGCTTATAAAAATTCTTGCGTACGCCCCTGGGAGGTGCTGAAAAGGTATGAAGTTTTAGGGGATAGATGGGCCAGTAGAATGGAAATATGGATGATTGCAAGTCCAGATTGAAATTGACTTGTGGATTTGTGTTATCTTGTTTGCCAGAAACCAATCTTTTTCATTGAAAAAACAATAGTCCATGTTTTGGAAAGATTGTAAATCTCATAGTCCAGGAAACTCTGGTCTTCTCTATAACTTGAGAGAGAAAACAGGTTACTGAAGGGTAGCTCCTCCTTTGACTGAGAATTAAAGCAAGCAACTAACCTGCCTTAGCCACCAGTTTTTGTATCTCCCCGAGATCTTTACAGTCTTTATGTACTGTGACTGTCACAAAGCATCGAGAACCAACATTAGTACTCATGTCAGTTTGTAGCGGATGAGCACTTAAGAGGCCCTCCCTATACATAATTCTTCACTAAAGGCAAAGATGGGGGTGGGATGGGGGGAGTGTCATTTATGCTTTAAATAACTCAGCGCCCTATCAAGAGGAAATAAGACACTGGGCTATAATGTAGAAGTCAATTCATGTATTTTCTTGCTTTTTTGCATGCTTTCTGGTCTGTCTTTAAACCTTTTTTCTGCGTTGCTAAGATGATATGTTGTTTTAATAGTTCCTCCATTTCGTCATCTATTTCTCTCTATTCATTCTCTTCTCTTCTCTCTCTTCTGTCTCTATGCTGCTCTGCTGTTCGGCTCTCTGGACTCTCAGCCAAATCGAATTCTCTTAGTTACGATACATCATGTGCTATATCCTATAACTGTGGAAGTGCTGCATCAAGTGTTTTCACCTCATGGAGNATATGTTCTAACTTCTAAATTTGTTTCTCATTCTGGAATTAAATACGGAATAGAATTTATGGAATTTGATCATGGAAGGAAGTCTCTGTCACTTCTTTGTTGTGTTATACGGCTCTAATCTTGGATGTAACTCGTTAGCTTTTTTGCTTCAATTGTTTCGTGGAGCATATGTGAAATTCTAATTATGAGATATCTGCATAATCTTTATTGCTACTGATATTTGCTATGAACTTTGTAGGTTTTCAAGCTTTGATTCAATACCAATTACCCCAAAATGCTGTTTCTGCTAGGAACTCTCTCCAGGTATGCTTTGTGTTACATAAAGTTGTCTTGTCGTGAGAAGATTATTTCGTGCTGCTTTATTTATCTTAGACGGTGAAGCTTAGTGCTTACAATTTTTTTAATAGGGGCGTAATATATATGATGGTTGCTGTCAGCTTGATGTACAATTCTCAAAGTAAGGTTTTAAATCCTTTTTAAATTGTGCTGCCATTGTGTTTGCATGGACATAATTTGCATCTTTTCTCTTATATACTATGATGGGTATGTTTACCATGGCTTATTTTGTGATTCAGCCTAGACGAATTGCAAGTGAACTACAATAATGAACGCTCGAGGTAACTTGTTCATTGCTTTCTCTCTTTCCCTCTTATACATCTCGAAAAAAGTTTCTATTCTTCAGTTTGTGAGGAAAATATTCATGTTCTACATTATCTATCTGTGTAGGGACTTCACCAACCCAAATCTACCATCAGAACAGAAGGGCAAATCTCCTCAGGTAGTTTCCAGTGTTTATTTTTCTTACTTTTTAGCAGGAATAGGAGTTTTCCAATATGGACTAAGTTCAAGCTTTGTCATTGTGTAACAACAGGGATATGGAGACGCAGGAGGCATGTACTCCTTGCAAGGTTCCGGGCCTCGTGGAGGTGCTTAAGTTAACACTATTTTATTATGTTTATTGTGAAATTTTCTGGTCTAGATATTCCTAACTGTTTTCTCCCTTTGTTTTTGTCCAGTTGGATTTCCTCAGGTGTGCATCCGACTCATCAAGTTTGAAGTATTTTAACATCTCTTGGTTATCTGCCTCTCTGCTGTCAGATCAGGCTGTTGAGTGGGAAATGGATGCTTTCTGTCTCTGCGTTTGTTGTTCATGCCACTACATCATCTCTGTTTTTGCTATCAGTATTAGCTACTAAATGCAGTGGATTAGGATATTTGCATCTTTATTTTATCTTCAATTTTATTACTACATGGAAATTTGAATGATCAATGTTGGTGAAGCTGTAGTTGCTGCTTCGCATGCTACATTAACCACTTCTTTTCCCGACACTGTCTTGCTCGCTTTCTTGTGTTTATAACATAAATCTCCATATAGTTCTAAGTTGGTTTTTGCAATTATTGGAGTAGATGGGAAATGCTGCAGCAATTGCAGCTGCCTTTCCTGGTGGTTTGCCTCCTGGCATAAGCGGGACAAATGACAGGTGTACTGTTATTGTATCTAATTTAAATCCAGATGTAAGATTCTCTCTTTTATTATTACCTTGTTAGCCCTTTTATTTTCTGTTTTTATTCTTTTTCTGTTTTAATTAAGTCCTAAGGTTTGTGGCTTCTTATCTTGATGTTTCTCTTCTGGTTGCTTTTCCCTATTACAGAGAATAGACGAAGACAAGCTTTTTAATCTGTTCTCCATTTATGGAAACATTGTCAGAATTAAACTCCTACGGAATAAACCAGATCACGCTCTGGTTCAGATGGGTGATGGTTTCCAGGCAGAGCTAGCCGTGCACTTTTTGAAGGTCTGATGTGATATCTGTTTCCATATCTGTATTTCCTTTTTCGGATTTTTGTTTGTTCTGCTTCACTGTGGTGTCAGCAACCTTGCTGCTGCTACATAACCTTTACACAGTTTCAAAATGGGATAAAATCTTATTCAAGTATAAACTTAGCACCAAGCTGCTGCCGCATAAGCTTTACACAGAATTTTAAAATGGAAACAAGATAAAATCTTATGTCAAATTAGCGTAGAAGACTGTTTTTTCTCAACTAAGTAAACCCATCATACTGAGCATGTTTCTACCTATCACAAAAAAAAAAAAAAAAAAAAAAAAAAAGATGACTGGTTGCTCTTTGTTACTCGTGTTTCTCTAATTTTTGTATATGGGGATGTTCCAGATCAATAAAAAATTTATTTACTTCATTTGGTTTCCCTTTGTATGTCATGTTCATCTACTTTTTGTTTATAGGGACATTCCTCATCTGACCAATAAAATTGTTTACTTCATCAATCAAACATGACATTTGATGACTCCAAAGAAAAAAAAAACTACTAAGACAACTATACTTCAAACCATGCATCAGACTACTAGACACTCCCTCGTTTCTTATCAGATAAAATTTATATGTTTCTTAACAACCTGCAGTCCTTTTTTTCCTAGCTTGACTTTTAATGGGTGATATCCCTTGTATTCCCACCGGTGGCAGAGCCAGAATTTTCACGAAAGAGGGTTGGGGGGTCAAAATATAAAGAAGTAAACCCATGAAGAAGCCAAGGGGAGTCAATATATAGTATACATATAAAAAAAACCTAGATACACAGCGTAATTTCCGACCCCTTGAATACATGTGGCTTGGCCGCTGATTCCCACTAAGCATAGATTTCTGAATTTTCGGTGAGTTCAGATGGTATGAGTTTATACCCAGTAAAAGATGGTTAGTAGATTTATAGTAGTTGAGCAAGTTTGTACTGTACTTATTTTCAAATGCCTCTGATGTATAGATCTTTCAACATATGATCAATTAATGCAGCAAATTTACCTTGTACTAAACCCATGCATATCTTTTGTTTCATTCAAGCATCTATTTACTTGCATCTTTGTTAATTTCTTATGGGATTTTGGATATAGGGTGCCATGCTATTTGGTACGCGGTTGGAAGTCAACTATTCAAAGCACCCAAATATTATCACTGGACCAGATACACATGACTACTCAAACTCAAATCTCAATCGTTTTAACCGGAATGCTGCCAAAAACTACCGGTATTGTTGCTCCCCTACCAAAATGATCCACCTGTCAAGCCTGCCCCAGGATGTGACAGAGGAAGAGATCGTGGCCCACAAGGAGGAGCATGGTACCATTGTCGGTACAAAGCTTTTTGAAATGAATGGGAAGAAGCAGGCTCTTGTTCTTTTTGAAAATGAGGAGCAGGCAACTGAGGCATTGGTGTGCAAACATGCTACCTCCCTTGGCGGCTCGATCATTCGGATTTCCTTTTCTCAGTTACAAAACATCTGAGATGCCTTCCTTGATGCAAATATTAAAGAATACTATGGTATCGTAGACCCAATATTGACAATTGATCACTGGCTTTAACTGTGGTTGTAACTTCAGTCTCTTCTAATATTCTTCCTTCCTTCATCCATTATTCTACTTCTCTTTTCTTTGAGCTCAGGGTATATTGGGGAGATTGAAGAGCTTTGTACTAATAGGGTAGTCAAAATTCTGTAATAGAAGTGTTTTCTTCCTTCATTGCACATCACTTGCTGTCCATCTTCCATTCTTCTTCAATTTCTGATTAACTGAATTTATCCTTTGGTCTTCCTATTCATCTTCCTCTATTGCTGAGTTTTTTTTTTGTGTGTGTGTGTGTGTGTGTGTGATTAAACATATGCCTCGGCAATTCCTAGCTCTCTTGGAACATTTGAGTACAATTCCTTACCAATAATAAAAAGAACCTTTGATGCCTACGAGTTGAGTCTCTACATTTTACATTTACATGGAAATTGTCTCTTAAGGCTATTTAACATCTGGATCAAAGGCGAGGGCTGCAAGTAAGAGCAAAAGCTGATAGGTAGCAGCAAACTACTAAGTGAATCCAAGATGTAAAGTCAATAGGCTCAGAATGTCTAAGTAATTTTAGTAGAAAGTAGTGAGTTCAGTTGATCTGGTTCAACTTGCTCTATTTGATATGATGGCATTCCGTGTATTAAGTATTCAAGTTTCTAAAATTTGGGGTCAAGAATCAAATTTTAGATGCATGTCTAAACTCTAATGTAACGTAGAAAGAAACACATTTGAAGATTCTTGGGTTTAAATCGAATGTGCATTAGTATATTGTGCGGTCGTCACCTCTTTAGAAAAAGAGATTTAAATTTGACAAGGATTCGACGTGGTCTACACGGATTTGTTAAATAATTGCAAAGAAATTCAGAATAGGAGATATAGGGAAAAAATTTAATTTTTGTGATGATATTTGATTGAGCATGAAGTTTAAAAATAGAAAGAAATTTTTTTGAAACTTGTGATTTAAAATAAATTAAAATTTTTTTTGTGACTATAAGTTACATCTCATAAAATAAAAATTTTAGAACTAAATTGCTATTAAGTATATAAATGTATCATTCTTTTTTTAATTGACTACAAAATAAAGTGAGATAAATTGGGATNTTAGAATTAAATTATTATTAAATATATAAATGTATCATTATTTTTTCAACTGATTACAAAACAAAGTGAGATAAATTGGAATAAGGGAGTAATATTTATTTGTTAGATCAACTTCATTTTATTTAGACCGTTTCGTTTCAATTTGACAAGCTTTAAATTTACGCCGATCTGGCAGTGTCACTCCCAACTATAATAACTACCAGGTAATCCCTAGGGTTTTTCAAAGCCAAACAAATCCCACATTTCCAAAATGTCATTTGATTCAACGCCGCCGGCGGTGGAGAAGCTCACCCTAAACGCCGCCACCGTAGATGAAGCCAAATTCTCCCAACGCGTCCCGATCCGTTCTATCGTCGGCCGTCCCGACGGCGGAGCTGGACTCGCCGGAAATGTCGTCAAAATCGGCGGCTGGGTAAAAACAGGTCGAGAACAAGGCAAAGGTTCATTCGCGTTCCTCGAAGTGAACGACGGCTCTTGCCCGGCGAATCTCCAAGTAATCGTCGATGCTTCAGTTCACAAGCTCGGTGATTTGGTACTTACTGGTACTTGCGTACACGTGGAAGGTGAATTGAAGGTACCTCCTGAAGGCGCAAAGCAAAAAGTTGAACTTCGTGTACAGAAGGTTCTATCTGTTGGTACTGTTGATGCTGCCAAGTATCCGTTGCCGAAAACTAAGTTAACACTTGAGTTTTTAAGGGATTTTGTTCATCTTCGGCCCCGAACTAACACGGTAATTATCTAATCTTATTTTTATTTACAATAATTTATTGGACAGTTGGATTATGGATTTATAGGGATTCAGAGTTAGTGGATTCGGAGTAGATTTGTTTGTTGAATGAGTTTAATTTTTATAAATACTGAAAAGATTTACACTATCAGGTCATCCAAAACATATCTACATGTAACCTCCATAAAAAGTGGAATTTGTTATGTTGAAAATAAGACGGAGTATGTACTAAAACCCGGTAAATGTGACCTGATAGTGTAAAAATAATTTACAGCCTTGGTGGATATTAGTTAAACTCTTATTTAATTATTTATTTATATATGAATATGGTGGTGTACGACAAGCATCGTACCTCCACTATTCCACTCCAATACATTGATAACTCTGTCTACATGGTTAGACAGATGGAAAGAAATCACCTAGTTTTTAGGCGGATTCATCTCCCTTAGTTTTCACTCTAATTGTTAGGCCACAGCCTTGGACGCAATTCCGTTCATATATAAAAATGCTTTTGCATAAAAAAGATGTGGGTTTGGTTGAATGTTCATGTCCTTCTTGGGTTTAACATATGAACTTTTCCATTAAAACTACCCCCTCTCCATAATTTATCTCTTAAGTGAGGTAGATTGTGGACTGTTCTCATTTTGCCAAAATTTATGTTCAAATTTAAAATTTGATTTTAAATTGTCAAAAGTTTTCCATTCCACCAGTATCTGTTTGCTGACGGTACGGAATGGTGGATTACTTTATGTGTCTAAAAATATTTGATTGTAATCCAGCACTTTTCATTTTCAGATTTCTGCCATTGCAAGAATCCGTAATGCCTTAGCTTATGCCACCCATACATTCTTCCAGAAGAATGGGTTTCTTTATATCCACACTCCAATCGTCACAACAAGTGATTGTGAGGGTGCTGGTGAGATGTTCCAAGTTACTACTTTGATAAACGAAGCTGAAAAATTGGAGAAGGAGCTGAAAGAGAATCCTGCTCCTTCAGAATCTGACATTAAAGCTGCTGAGCAACTTGTCAAAGAGAAAGGGGAGGCAGTTGCTCAGTTAAAAGCTAATAAGGCGAGCATTGAGAAAAGTGGTGCCAGTATTGCGGACATCAACAAGCAAATCAGTGCTGCAGTTGCTGAGCTGCAAAGAGCTAAAGAGAATCTACTGAAGTTGCAAGAGAGATTTAAACTGGGAGAAAGGTGTAGACTCTCTGCTGGTATCCCCAAAAAGGACGGAAAGGTTGATTACTCTGAGGATTTCTTTGCACGGCAAGCTTTCTTGACTGTGTCTGGCCAACTCCAAGTTGAAACCTATGCCTGTGCACTTTCTAGTGTGTATACTTTTGGACCAACTTTTCGAGCCGAACAGTCCCACACTTCTCGGCATCTTGCGGAGTTCTGGATGGTGGAGCCTGAAATAGCTTTTGCAGATATCCAGGTATTCATGTGGTAATTGCATCATGGTGTTATATACAATATTTCTGGAGCAAATTGTTTTGGACAGTTAATACCTAGCAACCAGAAGTTTCACTGAGACATAGAATAGTTTTAAACTCTTGGTACAGGCCATTCTTGTTCATAGTGGTTGAGAGAGTTCTCTTCATTCCACTAGGTCAAGAGTTCGAGGCTGGTAGGCTGCCTTGACAAAAAAAATAGATTTAAACTCTTGGTCTCTTACATGATTACATTTTGAGTTCAAATATTAAAATATGAGCTATACATGTATGGCAATGAAGCAGAAAGGTTATGTCAAATACTACATGTAGCAATCTCGTAGAGTTTCTGAAGGGGTTCTTTTGGTTGGATTTCTGTAAGTTTTCTTTCCATTAATCAAAACTTGTGTTCCTTTCACAGGATGATATGAATTGTGCTGAGGCATATGTGAAGTTTCTGTGTCAGTGGTTACTTGACCATTGCCTTGATGACATGGAATTTATAACTAAATTTATAGATAAAGATGCTTTGAGTAGACTTAGAATGGTTGCCTCATCGAACTGTTATCGAATAACTTATACAGAAGCCATAGCCATTCTCGAGGTAGCAGCCAAAGTGAAGAAATTTGAAAATAAAGTAGAATGGGGTATTGACTTAGCATCTGAACATGAAAGGTACTCCTTTTCCATTGTCCACTTATTGGATCTGCTTTGTATTCCTATAGCTATTCTGATTCATGATTTGCCTCGATAATAGATATTTGACCGAAGAGCATTTTAAGGCACCTGTTATTGTGTTCAACTACCCAAAAGGGATTAAAGCATTTTACATGAAGGTGAATGAAGACAAGAAGACAGTTGCTGCCATGGATCTGCTTGTACCAAAGGTAGGCTTTTTGAATCTGCTGGCATGCTGGAAGAAATACCTTTTGCTCTTTAATATATGTTCCCTACACATCCGCCCATGGGCAGGTTGCATTTCAAAAACGTCTAGATGAATGATGCTTTGATGTAATTTAATGGCAAGTAGCTCAACTTGCTGCTGCTAATACATATATCTCCTGTTAGAGAATCAGTAAGTGAGCTGAATGTCTGCTTGATCAAAAAAGTGAGCTGAATGTCTGTTTGAAATGGCATGGACCAATTTGAGGTGTTTGTCCATACAAATTCTTTTGAAACCTTTGGATAGCTTTTCCAGTGTTTGTTTAAGCTTTTCAAGAAGTTTTTGCCGATTTTGAAAGGTGTTTTTAACCGCATACTGATCTTCAAAAAAAAAAAAAAAAAAAAAAAAAAAAAACTACCACTATCTACACCTTTTTGTTTCTCAAACCTTTTTTGTTACTAAACTGAATCAAACACTGTTGCCCAATGGAATGAAGCCATGATTTAGAGTTAGTTGGAGCAAAAAAAATCAGCTCTCTTTTTCCAAAAGAAACAGATACACTGTACCTGCAGTGGCCCTTACACCCCACACCCCCCTCCCCGCGGGCCCCTCCCTATCCAATTCTCTTTCAAGATCATGAGTAAATTTGTCTGCCGCTGCTTGAACAAATTGTTTGCATTCCTTTGCAGGTGGGAGAACTAATTGGAGGAAGCCAAAGAGAAGAGGATTATGAAGTCCTCAGAACAAGGTATAACAAATTTGCTATCTAGAAGAGAGTTAGATTCTGTATCTGGCTCATATATTTGGTGATTAAATTCCAGCCATCAAAAGTTTGTTTGGCCTACTCTTTGTTGTCTTTAAGGTGAACTGGGATGAATTAACTTAAGGTAATTGCAATGAATTAATGATGGAATTTGGACTGAGAATCTTGCATTTATTAATTGCAGGATACTGGAGATGGGTTTACCACTAGAGCCATATGAGTGGTATCTAGACCTGAGGCGCTATGGTTCTGTGAAGCACAGTGGTTTCGGTTTAGGCTTTGAGCGAATGATTCTTTTCGCCACTGGGATAGAAAACATTCGGGATGTCATTCCCTTTCCCAGATATCCAGGAAGAGCCGATCTCTAAATGAAATTGATAGTCAAGGGATACCTAGTTTTTGGAAATTATGATACCATTTTCTAGCATTGTAATTGTTATTACAAATTTCAATCAAATTTAGATACAGGAAACCTATATTAACTTAAGATATCTCGTGAGTGAGGCATTTGGCGGCTCGGTTGATTAACCCTTGCTTGGGTGGTTGCATTCTGGTTGCTTTGGTTTTGTTAGGTATATCTCCTTAACTAGATGTTTGGATGGACGCCAACACATGGTAACGTACATGTATCTTGATCGGCTTGAAATATATCTTTGTTTCTGGTAATGCTTTGTTACTTATGTATGTGATCTTTATTGGTTTGACTATACAACTACGTCAAAATTCCCAGAAGTTGAACAACATTTGATAGGATTTGTTAGTATTTACAGTTTTAATTGTAACGCCTCAAAATCTACCACCCCTTATAGCAGTAGTTCTCTTTGCCATATTTCGAATCAAGGATAGATAGAAATCTAACTATAATCTTGACTTTGATAATATGGTTTCACTACTAATTTCGGAGAAATAAACTTACTAAGTCACGAAGTCGCATAGAATTATTATGATGATGTTTTAATGTGGCACCAGATGGATGTTAATTTCACTATGGTTTGTACAAATGGTACTTTTGCATTTTGATCACTACAATTTAGGACCGGTTCGGACATAAAAAGAAAAAAGTTCCTTTTTCCGGAATTTTTTTCTAATACATGATTGTCCAAGAAAATTTGTAAGCTTTTGAAGATTTTTCGAAAATGAGTTTTTCAAAAATAATAAAGTGGTCAAGTTTTCCGAAAAAAAAGTTTTTTCCCACCAACAAAATTGCAATAATTTTTCAAGTGAAATACAAGTTCAAACATAATTTCAAATAAAAATAAAAATTTTCAACTTAACTCCTAATATTACTTCCTTTTTTTTCTTTTCTTCAAAAATCACAATTTTTATGTCCAAACACCTGCTTAAAGTCGACGGGTTTTTCCAGTTGGATTTCATGTTCAACCCCTGCCTTTTACGAGCCAGTTCCTTTGCCAGTGAGAAGTTGCATTGATCCGGAAGGAGTACCTTGCCATGTGAAAAGAAAAGGGAAATGCTAGTATTGGATCCGATATCCGATACTAGGGTTGTGCATTTGGATCCAATATCCGAGAATTCGAACCGATCCACTCTATTCGGATTTTTGGATTTCGGATATTCGGATTGAATATGAGTTAGGTTTTTTAAAAATTCGGCTATTCAGATCGGATTGGTATAATTTTAATCCAGTCCGACCCGAAATCCAAATTATATGGACATGTATAAATATTAGACTTATATTTTAGGGTTAAGTCTTCTCATTTTATCCGCCTCTCTTTAGACTCTTCTTTCTTAGTTTATATTGAAGTATCTCTCTCTAACCTCTTTTCAAATTGCTCGGTCTGCTTCTCTTAAGTCTTACCTCTATGTCTCTCAATCTCTCCTTCCTATCGACGGACAATGGCGCCTCTCGCTTATTAGACATTTGTTCGGAATTTCAGTTTATTTTATTTTGCTATGAAACTTTTATTTTGTCTATTGCTATGAAAGATATTTGTTGCCTTTCAATTTTATAGAATGGTGAATAGCAGTAGCCTTAAAAAGTGAAGTAGCCGATTAGATTGTTAGTAGCCTTAATAAGATGTACAATCCGATCCGAAAATTTAAAATATTTATCTGATCCAAACTTTAAAATCTGATCAAATCCAATTTAATTTGGATTGGATTTAGATTGCATTTTTATAAAATCCAAAAACCGAATTTACAATCCGAAATATGCTAAATCTGATTCGATCCGACCGAACCACAGTCCTACCGAAATATAATACCATATATTTTTTTATAAGGGTGTATTGGTCATTATAATAATAATAATAATAATAATAATAATAATAATAATAATAATAATAATAATAATAATAATAATAATAATAATAATAATAATAATAGTAATAATAAAAATAAACTAACTATAAAAAAAAACAAAATAAATCAAAAAAAAAAAGGAACAAGGATTCAAAAAGGGCCGAAGCACATTATGTGGGAAAAATTAAACACAAACGAAAAGGGCAAAAGGGGCAAAAGCTGCGCTAAAGAGAAACAAAGCATTGAGCATACAAAAATAAAAGAACAAGGGACCAAGCTCGGCAGAAGCAAAACGGAAAGAGGCGATCAAAAGCAACTACAAACTGGGTTTACTTTGTTCTAGCAAAGGGATTTACAGAGAAGGGGAACAAGGTAGGTAAATTTTTTAACTTAATTCAAAGATTTAATTCATAAATTCCATGGCTATAGAGTTGGGGTTGAGAATTAGTTGAATTAAAATTAATGAATTAATGGAGTTCATGGAATTTTTCATGAATCGGTACTATAGGTTTGGGGTATAAACTTATATATTCTGTATATGCCAATAAAAAAAAAAAAAAGAAGGGATATTCCTTCAAAAACTTTCCGTTTCGTTAGTGATTGGTAATCAAATATGATTGCTACTAATATTGGTGATATTGGAGAAATTTACAATGTAATTTTGATAGCAGTGAGTTGGGATACTGAAATGGGTCTTGATATTTCAAGTAGAATAAGAGGGATTTGTTGGGTTATTATAATTCGACGAATTAAGAGCCAAACATTAAACTCTGAGGGTTGGGCATTCTAAATTAGCTATGAATTAGCCTAAATATGGAAATTAATATGAGATCGATATCAAGTAATTATAGATTGATTGGAGGAAGTTGTACGAATTGCTTGAGGTAAAGTATTTGGTATTTCGGCACGAGTACTGTGAGTAGTAATCTTACCACAATTTGTGTTTTCATAACTTGCATGATTTAGACATGATTTTTAATATGAATATGTTACCGATTATTTTGAGTTGCATATGGGACAAGTCTTTTACTCGATATGATACCGAAATAGTTATTTGAGATGATTACCGTTGTTTTAAATATTTTCGTTGTCACTAGATCTGTTTTACTGTTACTTGAATTTACTGTTATCGAAATAAAATTACATGATTTGATAAGAACCGAAATGCCCTATATTTTTAAAAAATATTTTTCTATGAGTATATACGGATTACAGAGACAAGTATAAATGGGAGTAGACTTTGAAGGATCCCGTAGCTAACGGCAGGTTCGTTAGACCTGGTGCACCTTGTAATTACCTATTACTGCCACAGTCTTCGATAGTGGGAAGGTAGAACTACCATACCGTTACCGATTTTTCTCGAGTAGGGACTACCGTTATATTTGACTTCTTGCGAAGAAGTCCATAATTATACCGATTACATGATTCGTTCATAGAAACTTCCCAAAATGTGAATATTGATATTATATAGTGGTTACCGAGTTTATTACTGAATTGTTAATTGTATTATACTACAAGAAAAACATGAGGAGACTAAAAATTATTTATTGTTTCTGAAAGTGCATTTGTTTGTTATTTTTTGTTTGATATACTAGCATGTTTTCTGACTTGTCCCCAATAAAAACGGTTGTAGCTAAGTGTTATTACTCACTGAGTTAGCGACTCACTCCCTACAAATTGTTTTACAGAGACAGCAGTTGACGCGGGCGAGGATTTCGTTAGTTAGAGCGCACAAGTTGATAGTTCTTGGTGAGCCTCACACTTGTTCGCGTGGACGGAGATTTGATTTATTGTTATGGTCTTTTCTTTTAAACTCTTAAAGTCGCTCCATAGTCATTCTTTTAGAGTCTTGAGTATTCTTTTGTTATTATGGACTTATGATGAGTATTGCACTTTCTTATCAAAATTGGAGATAAATTATTATTTTTGATTGTTAGTGGGTTGATTAGTAATAGTGAAGACTTATTTTGGTTAATTGATAAGTTGTCAATTGTTTGGTTTGATATTAGGATGGTTGGCTGTTAATTTTGAGACAGAAAATTTTTTGGATAGTCCAAAAACAAGAAAAACTATGTCCGATTTTCTGTAAAATACTGATGAGGCTTACTTGGGAGAACTTGCTCCTAAGTGCTGGTCATGATCCTAAATTGGGTCGTGGCAAAGTTGGTATCAGAGCTTAGGCTTTAAGTCCCGAGTCATGGAGCAATGTTTAGTAGAGTCTTGTTCATGGGTATGTAGGCGCCCATACATATGATCTTAAGGCTACTGAACATCTAGGAATGTTTTCCCTTCTTTCATTCTTTGATCGTGCGTTGAGATAACTTGAGATTGACTTTGGAGTATTTCTTTCGCAGATGGCTAGGACACATACACCCTCATCTGCTGGACGTGGTACTACCCGGGGTGGCGGTCAAGTTGAGGTTCATCAAACTAGAAGACAGACTGCTCCTCAACCTGAAGTTGGGAATATGGGTCAACCCCAAACTGCTATTCAAGATCAAGTGCAAGGGCAGGTAGTTCAGGACGCTCCACCACCAGTGCCAACTGTTGTACCTACTGTTGCCTTACCTACATACAGAGTGGCAAAGTTATTGAATGTGTTAGAGGCATTGGTGCCTACTCAGGGTGGAAGTTTAGCTCCTCAGGCTACTTTACAGACACAAGCACCTGCACAGACTCGGACTTTCGGAAATAAGGAAGTATCCCTACAAGAGTTCCTGAAATTGAAATCACCAAAATTGGCAGGTTCTGATAATTAAGCAGATCCTCAAAGTTTATTGGATGGGACACTCAAGGCATTACATGCCCTAGGATGTTCTAGTGAGAGAGTCGTGAAGCTCGTAGCATACAAACTAGAGGATATGGCCAGTATATGGTATGAAACTATGTTGCTAGGAAGGCCAGCAGGAGCAACACCACTGACATGGGACGAGCTCACTATGTTGTTCATGAATCATTTTCTTCCAGACAGCCTGATGCAAAAATATGCTAGAGACTTTGAGAGATTGGTTCAGACTCCAGATATGGATGTGTCAACATATAACACCAAGTTTTGTAAGCTGGCTAGATATGCTTTGTACTTAGTGCCTACCGAAGATGCTCGAGTTTAGAGGTTCGTTGATGGATTGATTGGTCGGTTATACACTGCAGTAGCCCCACAGATGAAGACTTTTTCCTATTCTGATGCAGTTGACCTTGCTAGAAAAATTGAAAACAAGGGATGTGATGAGCGTGCAACTAGTGATTTACGTAAGAAGGCCAAGACATGAGCGTCTTTCAGTGGCAGTTTTAGTGAAAATCGAAAGGCAGGAAATCAGGGACAACAATAACAGGGTTCTCAGACAGGGACACACCTGTCTTCACAGACCACATATAGACCATATTACAGACAGGGTACTAGGGGACCGTCAATAACTG